CAGCAGCATCTGGTCCCCAGCCACACATAAAGCATCAGGTGCTCTAGCTGGGGCACTGCTGTCCAGCCAGCTCCGATCTCTAGCTGGGGTCTAGGGAGAATCTCCCACCAAGAGCACATGCTTCCAGGTTGCTGGGTATGGAAACAGGAGAGTTTCTCTCAGAGAGGTCCCCTTTCTCCCTAGCAATGGCTATTTAGCGAGCAAGCACTCCAGACACCTTTAGAACCTGAGGAGTCTGGGTGTCTCAGGCTTCAGAGAAATTTGCTGCCCTGGGAGGGTCTACCCTTGGGGAGCATTTTCTCTGGTAGCCACAATTTATGCTCCAAGTTCTCCGCTTCTCTTAGAACCAGAGATTTCGAGCAGAAAGTGGATGCATTTACCCTTTTTTATGACCCTCTCCCTTGCCATAAACTGAATTATTTTCTAACTGAGGGAAAAAAATGTGTTAATTACAGTGACAGAAGTGTTTCTAGAATTTGGGCTTCTGGCAGATTTGCCTGCCAAAATGCCCACCCGGAGTCCTAGACCCAGCTGTCCCGGATCTCCTGGCTGGTGGGATTCTGGGTGCCATGGGGGCTGAGGAGGAGGAGCTTTTAGGAGGACTCACTCCCTAGAAGGGGTGCCTCTTCTACCAAAGCCTCAGGTGGTCACAGGCTGCTTCCTGCCCTGCCACTGTCCCAGAGAGTGGTACATCCGGCATCTGAGAATTCCATCTAGGCCCAGTCTTCTCCTCCTGCTGCCCCCGGGCCTAACTTCACACCAGGCAGGTCGGACATGCTTCCTTGTTTTCCATATGCCATAGAGCCTGGCAGCACCCACAACTGCCTGCACCTCTAAAAACCTAATCTAAGACAAAACAAACACCTGAACCCTGAGCCAGACAGACTGCCAGTCTCCAGCCCGGCGCTGCTGAGTTTCTGAAGCAGGTCCTGGAAACCTCGCCATCTAACAGGCTCCCAAAATGATGAGTGCGCCTGGGTGTCCACAAAACTCTGCTGGAGAGGCACCGATTTTAGCACACACCATAAAGCAACTTTGAGATACTTGCTCGAAAGGTTTGGAAGCCGAGAAGCTCTGACCAGCTCACTAGAGTATTTTCCAGACTTTCTTTGCTGGGAGATTTCCCCCGGAACCCAGTACCTGTCCCAGGTCTGCTCTTCCCTTCTTAACCTTCTTCTGTCCCCCCAAGAGACGGGAGGAGCGGGCCCTACACTCTCCTGTGGACTCCTCTAGTGGATCCGAGGCCCCTTCCTCTTTAGCCACTGGCTCCCCCTCCTCATCTTCCTCCTCATCTTTTTTGGTGCCAGGGATTGACCCCAGGGCCTGGTATGTACTAGGTAAGCGCTCTACCATGTAGCTAGATCCAGCTTCCTTATTTCTGTCAAAGACCTCTTGGTTTATCAACTCCCTAGAATGTTTTCCTAACATATTTTGGAATAGGCCAAGTTTCAGGCTGAGAGCCCTGGAAGTGAGTGGGTCAGAGAAAGCCAGGGTTTTAACAAACACATTTAATGGTTGTCCTTCCACCACAGGGCCAAATCTCTCAGCATTTGCCCTCCCAAAGTGATCTGTGGTGCAGAGGGAGGGGTGGGGTTCAATGCCTGCTGGGAAGGTATGACAGAGGAGGATACTTCTGTAGACCCTGGTATCAGCGACCAGAGGACACAAAACTCAGGCTAAAGTCTCTCAAGACACTAATGAAGACAAGAGCTAGCCTCCTTCTGCAGACCTCCTGCAGCACCCCAGCAGAGTGTCTCCTGGAGGGGTGTGTCATGTGGGCAGCACACACAGGCTGACCCACGGGCCTGCCTCTCTGGGCCTCTCGAGTTCAGCCACTCAGACCCAACTGTGAGCCCGCATGACAACTTCATGTCAGAATGCACATTCTTCCCTAGCCAAGAGCTCTCTGAACTGGGGCTTCTTTAAGGACAAGGGTCCTGGCAGGCGGGGCTGGGAGAAGCCCAGGCCTGTGCAGGTGTTTCTCTGTGAAATAGAGGAAGCATGAGCTCCAAGGTGCCTGGCTAGCATGGGCTCCTTTCACTGCCCTTTTTTCTTCCTTTTCAAAAAAAGAGTCAGCTCTCAGTGTTGTCTGTGTGCTGTTTTCAGGGGTGTGAGCTGCAGGCTTCCTGCAGCCTGGAGCTTCCCCTCTCCGAGGAACTCACCGTGGTGTACAGTCTTCCTTTACTGTTCATGGCGATGAAGAGGGTGCTTTTCACACCGAAGAGACTCACCACACCCCGCTCTACAGTGGAAATCTCCAGCAGGCCTGACAGAGAAATGGAGAGCACATAGAAACGAGAGAGGAGACTAAGATCCTTCAGAGGCATCCAGTTGTCCCCCTTCTAGAGGCTCAGCCTCTCCATCACTTCTGTCCTTGATCTCTCTAACCTTATAACATCCCTTTGCTACACCAGCCACATCCTGTCACACCCTGTAGCACACTCAGTTCCATCACATCCTGTAGCACACTCAGCTCTGTCACACCTTACAGCACACTCAGTTCTGCATGAAAAAGTTTTACATTGGAATTGGGGATCACAAGGAACATTCAAACATCTATTCAAGATTAGCTTTGAATTTGGGCTTTCAGTGAATCTGTCATTTGAAAGGTCATTGACTTGGGTGAAAAAGAATGGGGGTTGGAAATATAGCTCAAAATGGTAGAGTGCTTGCATGGTATGCCCTGGGTCCCTGGGTTCAATCCTCAGCAACACACACACACATACACACACACACACACACACACACACACACACACACACACACACACACCAATCAATCAATTTTGATCACCACTGTTTAATGTCTGCTCTACATCCTCCAACTCAGTTCACAGACCCTGCAGCTCCACAGAGCCGGATGGCTTGTTTGAGACCCCACAGCCCGAACCTTGCCTTGGCTGGAAGACTGTCCATGCAGGCAGGCACCTGACATTAGAGGAAGCACAGTGAAAAGACTGTACTTCAGAATGGCACTTTTCAAACCACTTGCTCGTCCCTTTCAAAGAGGACAGCCGTATAGAAACGTGTGGCTCTAACTGGGATGGAATATCATAACTTATCTCCCTTACCAATGCAGTAATAGCTTTTCAGGCTGACTCCGGGTCCAGAGATGGACCACTAATACTGGAGTAATTAGTACCACCAGGATGGAGTTACCTGGGATGATGGCTAAGAACACCAAGATGCCCAGGTCTGGGTCTCCTGGGCCTGCACCTCTATCTGGGTAGGGGAGGGTGGGATGGCGCCATCTAAACGTTGTCCAGCATGTTCCCTTTAGAGTGCAGCCCCACCCACCAGCACAAGGCTCCTTCGTCTTCTGACTCTGCTTGTGCCCAAGCCAGCAAGCACCCCATCTGTCTGCCAGCGACACTCACTGTAGGGGTTCTCCTCGTGTGTTCCACTGATCCGGCCGTCGGGGGGCACCTGCAGGTGGAAGCCGATGCCCACGTTGCAGTAGAGTCTCCGCTGCCGCTTGATGCCCACCAAATAGCCACTTTCCCAGTTCACACCCGAAATCTCTCCAGCTAGCCCAGCTCGGGATCTGGACAAGAGGGTGCCCCAGCCTCTGGAGTCCAGGAGTGTGCCGTTGGCGCGGGCGCCGGCAGGTGAGGGCACCACCATGCCCACTAGGACGCCTAAGAAGACGAGAGTCTGCAGCGTGCCCTGAACACGTCCTACTCCCTGGAACATAGTGATGAACAGCCTCTGTCCCGGGGCCATCCACCTTGCCTCTCAGGCACGTGGTCAGAATTAATGGCCCTAAAAATACCGCCCTTCTTGTTTTTCTCCCCTCGGCATGGCGGCAGGGGCTTATTTTTGGAAGGCAGATGAAGGCTGCTGACATGAAACCAAAGCCTGCTTCGGGCACTCGGGTAGAGAGTAGAGGGACCCAGACTGAGCTGCGGCTGGTAGGGACCATGGCTTGGAGACGCACCCTATCCAGTTTGCGGGGCTCCGTCCCGAGGTGATCCTATTTGATTTGACCTATCATTATAGTTCAGCAACCCGGCCCTCCCCTCCACCCATCATCACCCTGACGTCAGCCGGCCCAGCTCACTTACCCAGGGCTGTAACATTAACCTGCTCCTGGGCCTGGCTGCCTCCCCAGACCCCCACCACCCTCCCCACTCCCCAGGGATTCTGAGAGGCACTGTCATTCCAACTATGAGGCAGGAATGAAGTTAGCAGGGAGCATCTCTGCGGGAGGGTGGAGCTGGCTGGGGGCCCAGGGAAGAGGGAGCAGAGGCCACCCAGGACCCAAATTGGACAGCAGTCCTTGGCCCCACCACGCTGGCTTCCTTATTTAGAGGGCAAAGGGTAAAGAAAGATGGGGAAGGCGTGGTGGCAGGTGATGATGCTGGCCTACAAGTGACTCTCAAGACCTATTCATGGAAAGAGCCCATGGCTGAGGAGGGCCTGTTTCCCAGGACAGGGGATATAGGCGAGGGGTTGGCCAGCAAAACTAACGCTGTGGAGGCCGGGAGGGGCTCACCTTTTCCTGCTCACAGTTGTGGCCATGACTTTCACCCAGAGGTGAAGGAGGTGTCATGCCATTCTCCCGCTTCAGCTCACCCTTGGCCTCTAATTGTTACCATTCCTCTTGGACAGTTGCAAAAGTTGGATCTTGGAGAAGGTGTGATGCTTACCACGGGCTGTAAGTGGCAGAATCGGGCCTTATAGATTCTGCACAGGTCCAAAGCCTTCTCACAGCGTTGCTTATAAATAGAAGCCAAATTTTCAGAGGCTATCATGGTTTTCCTTATGTACCAAGTAGACACTGAAGGACTCTTTCAGTAGGACAAAATGTTTTGGGGTGTGTGTGTGTGTCTGTGTGTGTGTGTGTGTGTGTGTGTGTGTGTGTGTGTGTGTGTGTTTGACAGTCTCATCTATCCCAAGTGGCCTCACATTCATTGTGTAATCAAGGATGACCTTGAACTTCTGAATACCCAGAACTTGTATTACAGGAATGTGCTAACAAGCCTGGTTTTCTATGGTGCTGGGGATTGAACTCAGGAATTCATGGATGTAAACAAGCAATCAATCAACTGAGCTATAGTCCTAGCTGCAAAACGATTTTTCTGTCTTAAAAAAAATTACCAAATGTCTCAGAAAATTTCTGTATTTTCAGCCAACTTAAAATGATTAAAAAATTTTAAATTAGGTGCATGTGTGTGTCTGTGTCTATGAGTACATGCATGTGTGTATGGGTGCCCATGGAGTCCAGAAGAGTGCTGGATACCCTAGAGCTGAAGTTACAGGTGATTGCGGACTACCCAACGTGAGTGCTGGGAACCAAACTTGAGTTCTCTGCAAGAGCATTAAGTGCTTCTAACGGCCGAGCTGCCTCTCCAGCCCGGGTAGTTAACATTCACTAGGCTAATATTACAGTTAAAAACTACTAAAATCATTTCTATAGTTACCCTACATCCACTTTATCCTCTCAGGTATCATTTAAGTAGAACATGTCTATTACCTGAGGTTAAAAAAAACTTATTTAAAAGGGTATAGAAAGGATCCTGTGCTGGTGAGATAGCTAAGCATGAAACAGTGCTCACAACCAAACCTCATGACCTGGGTCTGATCCCTGGGTCCCACATGGCAGAAGGAGAGGACTCTTGCAAGTTGTCCTTTTACCTACCTATGTGCACCATGGCGCATGTGGAAGTGCACACACCACACACACACACACTGCTACACTAAATAAACAGAGGGGATACTTGCACATGGTTATAAATATATAAGAAGGACTCATATCTATGAGAGTGAAATAAGTTAACCAAGGCCACCTGAGGAGACAACTTGAGTTCAACATCTAGTTTCATTGTCCTACAATCCAGTTCTTAATCTGTTGGTGGAGTGCCAGTACAGGAACTGTAAGGGGTATATCTGTAAGGATAAGGAACACAGCATGGTAGGTGGCAGCTGATCCCAGATCCTGTCCTGTGTAGGTTAAGACCTGGATGCCACCACACTTACATGCCAACCTCATTTGCATGCCACAATCCCACTGCTGGAAGCCTGGACAAACTCCTCTGCAAGTTCCATGGCTTAGCCACACCAGTGTACCTCCCCTGTGGTCCTGAGTCTCCTGCTCAGGTCTGGGGCTGAGTCAATGGCTTCTGCATGTTACCTGTCCCTCTCTCGTTCAGTTGACAGATGCTTGGTTATCATCTCTTTTAGTTCTGCCCTAGACATGCATTCTTAGATCCCTTGAAGCCGTGTGGCCAGAGATGGAGTCTACCACATAGGTCTTCACAGAAAAAAAAATTAAATTAATAAAGTAGGACTTTTGGAAGCATCCTTCTGCAGGATAGCAGTAACCTAGAGTAACTCTGAGTAACCCAGAGATGGAAGAATTTCACTTTGGACTCCCAGCTTGACTTCATAGATTAAGCTTCGACATGCGCAAGAGCAGAGGCACGCTCTCTCTCACTGATGCTCAGCTTGGAATCTTGCTTCAACCACATTCCTACTGCTTTGGGAACCAGCATCCCAGTCACTTGATCACTGGTTCAGAGAATGCTATGGTTTGCACATAGAATGGCCTCTAACGGCCTCTGTGTTGAAGGCTTGGTTTCCAGCCTGTGGTGCTGCTGGAAGATGGAGGAATCTTTAAGAGGTAAGGCCCAAGAGGAGGAAGTTAGGTTGTTGAAGGTGTGTTCTTGAAGAGGGTATTGGGACAACAGTCTCTTCCTGCCCCCTCCCCCCTACCTGCTTCCCGGACACCATGAGGTGAACAGACCTTCTCCACTATATGAAGTTCCTAGCCTATGAAGCACCACAGGCTGAAACCACAGAGACCATGGGCCAAAACAATGCCTTCCTCCTTGAGGCTGATCAGCTCAGGAATTTTGTTACAGTAACAGAAAGCTGAGCAATGCAGAGAAGTTGGTTTGGAATTAATTTCCTATAATTAGTGAGGTATTCATTAGTGAGGACAAGTCAGAGTCCCTGGAGTTCTTCTTGGAACACATCCACTTTCAAAATGAAATGAAAGTATAGCAAGGCCCACACGCTGCCTCTCAAATGTCACAGGTGCCTGCCCCTCCTTGGGTCTACCTCATTTCCCATTCCTTCCTGTGCAGATGTCACCGCTGTGATGACATTTTATAAAGCAATGGGCTTTGTTAGTGGGACCCCTGAATTTAAATTCTAATGGTATGCTTTCTTGGCTGTGCGATCTTGGGTGAGTTTTGGACCCCTCTGAGCCGCATTTCTTCTCCTTTGAAGGGTGGGATGATTAGCCTGTGTGGTTTTTATAGCGAGTAGCATGGCACACGCAAAGGGACATTGCTGAACAGCACAGCTCTCAGAGGACCATTTTCTGAAACACATCGGAAATCTCTCACCCAATTAAGGAAGGGCAAACTCGAAGTGAGAAGGGCCATCTCTCATCTCGGGGGGTGGGGTGGCACATGCCATCCAGTGCTTAGCCGCTGCCCTCTACGGCCCATGTAGTGATGGCTGTTGACATATGCAGGAGCAGGCAGTCCAGATTCCTAAAATATTCTGAAAACCAGTAATAGCTTTGGTGTTGTCCCCTGTTAAATATAAAACTTAAGTAACTCATTCTATTAAAAAGCCGCAGTCTTATTTTTATCGGGTGATGTGATGAGGCTCCACTCTAAATGTACCTCCTGTGCCTGTCTCCATAGCAACTCCACTCTGCTCAGATAGCCACATAATTTTCCTGAAGGCTAATTAACCTGACAACTGCTAGGGCGGCTTGGTTTACCAGATTTGCACTTGACCCTTTACTCGGGGCTTAGGGACCCTTTGGCTACGAAGTGATAAAGAAAAGAGTAACAGGTGGAGGAGGCCTCCCCGGACCCTTCTTTCACATAGTTGCTCTCAGTAGCCTTTGGGGGCTGTCAATCACTCTTGCTTGATGAGCCAAGACTTAGTGTGAGTGAGTGGGAAAATGTCCATGCGCATCTTCTTCCATGAGTTGGGGCAGCATGAACCGTGGATGGCTTAGATTGGGGGCTGGGCTACAGTACCAACCTGCCATATCAGCTGCTCAGGGGAGGTACCTCTGCATAGCATGCTGGCTGCCCTCAAGACTCTGGTTTATTACATAATAGGATTCCCACCCCCCCAATACCAGGAGTGCCAACAAGAGAACACACAAGCTGTCCTAGGAGCCAGGCCTGTTGACTGCCTTCATTTACGCAGCTTATTTGACTTTTCACAGTTGGCTCTGAAAAAGCAGCATTACCCTTTTCAAACGACTGGTTGGGAAATTCAGAAAACCGTCAGGGAGAGAACAAAACAGCAGTTGGTGCTTACTGCATCTATACCCTCCGTCTTGGACTCTGGGTTTGCTCTGCTTTGGCTCAGAACCTGGGGCCCCTGCCCCTTGCTCCTCCCCTTCTGCTCAGAAAGGCACACAGAACCGGCTGTAGGTTGCTCACAGGCACCATTAGCACAGGATGGACATGTAGAGGGGTGAGGAAGGGCCCCTGTCTTAGACCTGAAAAAAGATGGACACTTAGGGTTCATGAAATGTGTGACAAGAGACGGACGGGTCTGCTGTCCTGTGGCTGTCTCTATGGAGAACCTGTGCTTTTCAATTTCTTAGCAGAGCTCCACCAGCCCCAGGTCTCCCCCATGTAAGTGGAAGCCCCATGTAAGTTCAGTCTTCACCTAAATCCTCTGATTGCTGTTACCAATTCGTGTGTAACCTCACCCACGGCAGATTACTCTCAAGGGATTTCTGGACATGTCAAGCATGACTCACATATATACCTGAGCACATAACTGC